TCCTCCTTAAATAGGTCTCCTGATGAGCAGACAGGAAACAGGTGTGTAGAAGTAAGCTCATGCCCTCAGGAGGAAGATCTCAGGCGCCCTCTGGTGGAGAAAGTGGACAAGCCTCCAGATCCCAACACAGACGAAATCTCACTATACATCAGCCATTCTTATCCTCCCCTCTCTCATGTTAAAATGAAGAGGATTTGTCCCCTTTGGTTGTGACAAAGGCTGTAGCGCCCCGGGGTCTTCTCACCGGTTCTTTTCCTGGGAGCAAGTTATTTACTACTCTTAACTCAAACTGAGTAAAACCATATAAAAAAGGACTATAAAAACAGGAGTAAAAAATGACAGAGTTTATTCCAGATCAGGTCGTTACAGGACAGAGAAAAATGCTCAGAGCTTGCACAGCTGTGGTCTCAAAAATCATGTCCGCGAGCGTCCGGCAAAGTTTGAGCCCCGAACAAGGACCGGCTCCAAGATGTGCCCATATCCTGTGTATTCTTAAAGACACGAAGGCTGTCCTGATTAGATTACCTCAGTACACACCGTGACATCCACAATGTGAAGGAAGGCCCTCTACTCTGTCTAATCTGACTAACAAAGTAATAACGCACATGATGTATAAAGAATAAACCTCACACTCATGACAAGGCGCGCACGAGTCCTATCATGAAAAAAAGCAATGGGGTGTCGACAATGGTAACTGCATTATAGTGACACTCATAGTAATTAGTTAGATTACTCGTTACTAAAAAAGGTAACAGCATTAGTAACTTTCAACACAGTTACTCCCATCACTGCTTAACCTGTGTTTCTCCCTCCAGAGTGTCAGTTATTTGGTGGTTCCACTCCTTCCCCCTGCAGATCCACAGCGCTGCACTTTAGTTCTGTTATGTTTTTGGTATTAAACATTTTGAACTTTCCCACCATCTGTCTTACCTTGAATTCTGGGTTCATCTGTCTCAGTCATGACACGTACAGCTTTTAACAAGAGTCAATGGGTAAACATTCTTGCACCCTTGCATCACCAATCTGATGAAAAATTAAATGACACTTTACTCGTCATTAAAAAATATTTTTTTATTTTCCATGTCTTAATCAGGGTCTTTGGGGATGTAGGGCGGTGCTCTGGCATCCTCTATTGGCCAGCCGCCACTGGTTACAGATGACCAAAACATTGTACGGTACTTAAATTTAGCACTACTTCATTTTTTTTAATAAGTAATTAGTAGCCATTGAAGGAATCAGTCAAGTAAAAGCAAAAATTTAGTAAATGACATACTTACTACTTATGATCATAACATGTGATTTAATATTTAAAAAAATTATACAGTTATACAACATAAGTTATATGCAAATTATATTATTTTAAAGAATTAGATACCAAAATAAAATAAAGCATGCAAATTTTACTGAATAAAAGCTTCACTTGGAAGAAATCAAGATATACTCAAATATCTATTATGAAATTAATACTTACAGCATGTATATAGGTTAGGTTGGGGTAAATTACTTGCGGTAACAAGATACAGTATACTGTTTGCTATTTCTTTATTTGACCTTTATATGGCAGCATAATCAACACACACAAAGTTATTTAACCAATAAGGCTTGAGTACCAAAAGGTAGTAAAAGTTAAAAGTACAATAAAGTAAAACTACTTATAAAGTTACATTTTCCCCAAAAAAAGTTATTAATGTAGATGTATCTGAATAAATGTAACTAATTAATACCAACCTCTGTAGATGTCTCA